TACTGAGCAGCGCTTGCATAGAATTGTTCCTGCAAAGTACAGAAAATTTAAGCGTGAAACAAAAAAGGAAAAAAAAGCCTTGAGGTAATTCAATTAAAAAAGATCTAGATTCCTTTCAATGTATTTTCCATTCTAGCAAAAGCAAATTCAAATTATACTATCAAGGTTTTTCAGAGCTTTTGTTAAAAAAAACAGGCATGGTTCTCTCCTGCCAAAAATGTAAAACTATCTTAACAGAAGAACTACTTATCCTTTGTTTTCAGATTATATCTGATTCCTTCTTTTTCATATATGTGAATCAATTGATGTAAACCACAGATTCATATTCAGCATACTACAGGACATCAGCAAAGCATCTTCTTGGCTTAAATGAAAATGGTAGGCAAATTGCTAGACAAGTGATTTAGACCGAACCATTATTTCTGTGCAGCTCCTGCTTTGAAATAACATGGCAGATTTTTAGACACAGGATTCCTCCTTTCTTCAGGCAGAACAAGTACTCTCCCATTCTTCCTCCCCATAGTCTTTCTCCAGATTTAGTAAAAATTTAACCATAAGGTCAGCAGCTTCTGTCTGTCCTTTTAAAAACAAACAAACAGAAACCTGGAAATTATCTCATTCTAACTTCACAACCTAATAATGAAGGTCTGCAGCTTACCTATCCCAGAGGTCGTATTATCTTTGTAATTCCTCCTTGTATCTTCCATGCTAAGCATGTAGCCCTCTACAGGAATACTACACCACAGTATGGGAGAAAATTCCTGAATTCCTGATCCTTGGTCAACAACACAACAAAATTAGCCCCTGCAATATTAATTAGTAGTGTCAGGATGGAGCAAATATTGCTTTTTTTACTGGAAACAGTGCAAAGAGTAATCATAGTGGTGTCCTGCCATATTGTGTTCCCATGGAGATGAGCTGTATCCAAGTTCCTCCTATCAGAAGTGGTAATAGGAAGCAATTTATGCTTGAACAGCCACTGGCCAACATTGCCTTGGAAACATACACTTGTAATTCATATCTTGCCGTTATAAACAGCCACCTGGCCCTTGTTATCAATTTAAGATAAAAATAATCTAGCCTACAGATAGCATCACAATCCTGCTGTTATTGCACTGTTATTGCAGGGAAATGGCCCACCTAATGTCTTGCTGATAGGTGTTCAAAAATATGTATCCAAAAGCATTGTCATTGCAATTGAAATTCAAAGTACTTGGGGAAAAAACTTGTTATTGAAAACACATGACAGAAAATACAGAGTTACAAATGAAAATAATAAACTCATGAAGCTGCTGTTAAGGTCTGATGGTCACAGTGAAGTGAAGCTGCTTTGCGTCTTACTGAAGGGACCCCAAATGGTAATAAATTCCCAGGAAACACCATATATCATTGTGGTTATTGCTGCTGTGAGCTAAAAACTAAGATGATAGGTATTACAGAATTTCATTTTGCACAGAACTTTTCAGGTTATTGAACAGAAAATTCTGCATGTTTTAGCTGATTTTGTTGTTTGAAGCATGTAGTACATAATATATCAAATTCTTTTGTAATGGCATATTTTTAGATGCTAATTAGTGCAAAAGCATAGAGGAACATTTTGTATCTCTTTCATAGCAGATAGATGTGCTTCATCTCAAGGCATTATTAAGGCACTTCATTATTTCAGTTTCCATGAAAAGCAGAGCTTCTGGGCACCTGACTGGGCTGGTGAAGCACAGCCCATGTGTTTATCCAGCTCCTGCAATTCAACACAGCAGTTTTATGCTTCACCTCTGCAGGAGTGGATCTTGCTACCCAGGGTCAGGGGGGTCGGGCAGCAGCAGCAAGCCTGCTTTGGGACCTCAGCCCTTGCTGTGCTCAGTGGCTGCATCACACTCTGCCTACAACCAGCAGGATATTGCGACAAAGGCATACTGCCCCACATGACAAAACTGGAACTTCTGCCTGTAAATCCCTGGCAGCTTCAGGCTAGCCATGCTGGGATTGCTGGCAGGACAGCTAGAGCACTGAGATGCCAAGGAAAGAACAGAGATTGAAGTGCCCAAGAAAGCCGATTAATCTGCTTACCTTACCCAAGCTGACTTGAAACTATATCAGGTTCAGTTATTGTAGAGGCTTCAGTGGAGAGATTTTCTTGGAAGATTCCTGTAAGGGAAGAAGAGAAAGAAAAGTTCAGCTATATGCATGTATTTTTAAAACCCTTTTCCTTACACTCTGACTGTAAGTGGGCTTCCAGAACAGAATATTCTGGAGTGCAAATACTGAATAGAGCTATATTTGTAGTTTTCTGCAGCAATTCTGTTTATTATTAATTTAAACAAGAATCTTAGACTAAAAGGTTATTATGTTTTAAAAGGTGTCTGTAGTTTTACTCCTTAATTACAAGCCGATTTCCTTGCTAAGTTCTCTGACAGACTTTGCAAGCCAAATCTTAAAAAAACCAGCTCCTACAGAAGAGCACTTCAAATATGCTTAGTTTTAAAGTAGTCTCATTGCTTGTCTGTCTTACCCAGCTGTCCCAGGAATTCAAGCTAGAAAATAAGTGTAGCAAAGGCTTTTCCTAACTGTTCCTTTTCGGATGTGCATTCAGGCCTGTGCAGAGCCCAGCCTGCTGGGTATACAGAGTGCCTCTTTCACAACGTCAGTCCATTTTCACCATTTTCTTGGACAGTCCTTTAAAGCTGAAGTGGATTTTTAAGTATTAACTTCTAAAATTTAGTTTTCAAAGCTTGGAGAGAACAGCTGTGCTCCTGACTATTTCAGTGCCGGTGGCACCATGCAAAACATACAGTCCATTTCTCTAGCATCTATTTTCCCAGCTATGATTCCACACACATGGATTTCAACTAATAACTCCTATCTTTCATGTTCTTTTACCTTTCTCGAGGAACATACAGTGCCACTTTCCAACAACTAAAACCGTTTGCCAGAATAAAGGCCAGATTCTGAACTATTCTGAGAGCATTTGACAAACTTCAGAACTGCAGCATTCAAAGCCACTTAAGACCTCTCAGTAACTCGAGACAGAGTGTAGTATACAATTTTCAGTGAAGCAATTTATAATACACTGAAATGTTGTAGACAACATTTGAAACATGTCATGAAGAGCTTTTACAACTGCTATTGTGCGATGAGCTCGCAACTTTTCTTGTCATAGAGCCCTGACATACTGTTCACAACACTTAATTCCCATTTCTTAAAAATACTTTTTCTGCTTTAAAATAGACTTTAAAACATGAGATTAAAATGAAACATTTTCACTTTCTTTGTAGAACTTTCCAATTGAAAGGCTTTTAAACTTTTTTCACCATTCCTTATGAAAGCTAGGAATTCATTTTAGTCTTGAAAATGAAAGCTGAGATTTTCCAGATGCTTGCAATTGCAGCTTTAAGCTAACTACCACTGTACTAGAAAATAACAGCACATAGCAGGCAATCTGAGGCTTCAGGGTAATATTTATTCTACTAGTTTTTGATGCACAAATAAAGCATCTACTTAGCAGGCTTAGGACGTACTGTTAATACCCCCCCTTTTTTTCCAGTTTAGCTGTAGCTCTCTATAATGAAAAGGAAAGAGGTAAAAAGATTTAAAATTAAAATGTATCACTTCCTCCTGCCTTTCTCTTTTTCTGTCATTACCCTCTTCATCTTGCTTCTCCAAATACATGTCGCTGCTTAAGCAGGGTGGAAAGGGCATAAAGGAATAGAGGGGTTAAAAGGTTGTGATCTTTAAGCAAAGTAGAGTTGATCAAGCCAATTCTACATGGGACATTCTTGCACAGGTGTTTTGAATGCATAAAGTGCTAGGTGAGAGGTAATCAAGAGAGTAACGAATGTATTCCTTATGATATTGCTTAAGAGGTTTCAGGATTCCCAACTAAATTTGGTGAAGTATTATGCTCAGCTAAAGCAGCTTGCAGTAGTTTAGCTGCCCTTGTATCAAAACTAGTTTGATTCAAAAACATGCTTAGGAATAATTAGTGGGGCAGTGGGGGGAGCACCAGAGCCTTGTTCTGTATGCATCTCAAGAACAGGACAAAGGTGGCCAAGAGTTGTAGCCCAACACAGTACAGATGGCAGAAAGAAGAAGAGATGCTGTCCAGAGCTCTCCCAGGAGAGCGCAGAAAGCCTGAGGAGGAGAGCTGCAACATGGCAACAGGAACAGATGGTTTAATCCTTCCTTCCCCTTCCCACTGCCTGTGGTGCATCTCTGAAATGTGTTGATGTACAAGCGATGTAGATGGAGTAGGACAGTTAGGGATGTAAACACCTGGGACTCATAATGATACAGTTGCTGTGAGTATCCAAACAAGAGGGTAAATAAGAGACCAAACTAAGGCAAAGCAACACAGGAACAGAGGACAGCTTTGGGGCAGCTTTGAAAGTTGTGAGATGATGTACATACTCCTGCATTTTTTGTGGCTCTGTAGTAATATTTTCTGTTAAGGCTGCAAGGAAACTCTGAAATTCAGACTGCTGCATTGCTGAGCTGATGCAGGCTCATTTCCATGAATCCCAATGTTAGCACGCTTGGTCTCTCTGAAATCAGACACCTAAATATGTATTAACTACTGCTTTCACATTACATATATTTAGTCCAGCTGCTTGAAGTTATAGCTGTATTTAAACACCCTGGAAGAGGATGCTAACCAGTTCAACACCACAGAGTCTGTCTTCCACTGCAAAGCTGCCAGAAGCTTCTTACAGGATTAATGCACAAGGTCAGCTCCATGGGACAAACTGTGCTTCTAGTTGAAGACATAAACCAGAGCACACAGCCAGGAAAAAGCTCTCACAACTGCCTACTCTGAAAGACTGATCTAAACAGCTCAAGCTACTGATGCCAGAAACATCACTAGGTTCACAGATCATAAAAAGAGATGTTAACTGTAGGTGCCTCAGGATAAACTCATTCCCTAGAGATAACACAGAGGATCCAGTCATGATGCTAATGCTAAGAGGTTTAGCAGAGAGCTTAAAAAAAAGATTATTTGACTGTACCTAGATTTCCAGGCTCTCCTGCATTATTTCTTTTCCTGGGCATTTTTGGTCAAACTGCAATCCAGGAATCGTTTCTCTTTCCTCATGTCTCCAGGTGATAGGCCGAAAGGTAGAACCACTTTGGTAGTGCTAAAGGCACAGACTTCCCTGTGTAACAGTTCATAGAATCATAGAATAGTTAGGGTTGGAAAGGACCTCAAGATCATCTAGTTCCAACCCCTCTGCCGTGGGCAGGGACACCTCACACTAAACCATGGCACACAAGGCTCTGTCCAACCTGGCCTTGAACACTGCCAGGGATGGAGCATTCACAGCTTCCCTGCGCAACCCATTCCAGTGCCTCACCACCCTTATAGTAAAGAACTTCCTCCTTATATCCAATCTAAACTTCCCCTGTTTGAACCCATTACCCCTTGTCCTACCACTACAGTCCCTAATGAAGAGTCCCTCCGCAGCATCCTTACAGGCCCCCTTCAGATACTGGAAGGCTGCTAGGAGGTCTCCACGCAGCCTTCTCTTCTCTGGGCTGAGCAGCTCCAACTGTCTCAGCCTGTCTTCATACAGGAGGTGCTCCAGTCCCCTGATCATCCTCGTGGCCCTTCTCTGCACTTGTTCCAACAGTTCCATGTCCTTTTTATGCTGAGGACACCAGAACTGCACACAGTACTCCAAGTGAGGTCTCATGAGAGCAGAGTAGAGGGGCAGGATCCCCTCCTTTGACCTGCTGGTCACACTCCTTTTGATGCAGACCAGGATATGTTTGGCTTTCTGGGCTGCGAGCACACACTGCTGGCTCATGTTCATTTTCTCATTGACCAACACCCCCAAGTCCTTCTCCGCAGGGCTGCTCTGAATCTCTTCTCTGCCCAACCTGTAGCTGTGCCTGGGATTGCTCCAACCCAGGTGTAGGACCTTGCACTTGGCATGGTTAAACCTCATGCGGTTGGCATCAGCCCACCTCACAGGCGTGTCAAGGTCCCTCTGGATGCTATTCCTTCCCTCCAGCGTATCAACCGAACCACACAGCTTGGTGTCATTGGCAAACTTGCTGAGAGTGCACTCAATCCCACTGTCCATGTCACTGACAAAGATGTTGAACAAGACTGGTCCCAACACCGATCCCTGAGGGACACCACTCGTTACTGGTCTCCAAATGGACCTTGAACCACTGACCACAACTCTTTGCGTGCGGCCATCCAGCCAGTTCTTTATCCACCGAGTGGTCCATCCATCAAATTGATGTCACTCCAATTTGGAGACAAGGATGTCGTGTGGGACAGTGTCAAACACTTTGTACAAGTCCAGGGTAGATGACACCAACTGCTCTACCCCTGTCCATCAGTTCTGTAGCCCCATCCTAGAAGGCCACCAAATTGGTCAGGCAGGATTTGCCCTTAGTGAAGCCATGCTGGCTGTCACCAAGCACCTTGTTGTTTTTCATGTGCCTTAGCATGCCTTCCAGGAGAATCTGCTCCAAGATTTTGCCAGGTACAGAGGTGAGACTGACTGGTCTGGAGTTCCCCGGGTCATCCATTTTCCCCTTCTTGAAAATGGGGGTTATATTTCCCTTTTTCCAGTCATCAGGAATTTCACCTGACTGCCGTGATTTTTCAAATACGATGGGGAGTGTCCTCGCAACTTCATTCGCCAGCTCCTTCAGGACCTGTGGATGGATCTCATCAGGACCCATGGACTTGTGCACGTTCAGGTTCTTAAGATGGTCTCGACCCAGATCCTCTCCTACAGTGGGCGCAAGGTCTTCATTCTCACAGTCCCTGCATCTGCCTTGCAAGACTTGGGTGGTGTGGTCAGAGCCTCTACCAGTGAAGACCGAGGCAAAGAAGCCATTAAAAACCTCAGCCTTCTCCAAATGCAGTGTAGCTAATTCTCCCAATAGCTTCCAGATGGGGCCCACGTTGTCCTTAGTCTGTCTTTTCTTCACTACGTACCTATGGAACCCCTTCCTGTTATCTTTAACATCCCTATCCAAGTTTAATTGTAACTGGGCCTTAGCTTTCCTAACCTGGTCCCTAGCTTCCCTGACAACATCCCTGTATTCTTCCCAGGCCGCCTGTCCTTGCTTCCACCTTTTATAAGCCTCTTTTTCCCTTTGAAATTTCCCAGCAGCTCCTTATCCATCCAAGGAGGTCTCCTGGCCCTCCTGCTGCACTTCCTTCTAGTTGGGATGCAACACTCCCGAGCTTGTAGCAGGTGATCCTTGAATATCAACCAACAGTCCCCTGATCATCCTCGTGGCCCTCCTCTGGACTTGTTCCAATAGTTCCATGTCCTTTTTATGTTGAGGACACCAGAACTGCGCACAATACTCCAGGTGAGGTCTCACGAGAGCAGAGTAGAGGGGCAGGATCACCTCCTTCAACCTACTGGTCATGCTCCTTTTGATGCAGCCCAGGATACGGTTGGCTTTCTGGGCTGCGAGCACACACTGCTGCCTCATGTTAAGTAAGTTTCTCGTAGACCAACACCTCGAAGTCCTTCTCCGCAGGGCTGCTCTGAATCTCTTCTCTGCCCAACCTGTAGCTGTGCCTGGGATTGCTCTGACCCAGGTGTAGGACCTTGCACTTGGCATGATTCTCCGCATATTTCACACAAGAGGGTGATGCCTTCACAATGGAAACAAGCCAGAGGTAAGGGCACATTTCTCATCCACTCTGAGCATAAGTTAACCACCCCTTCCCCCATATTTATGTGTTGTAATTAAAAAAATAAAGCAGTAAGTATAAGTTGCTACTGACTGAAATAGCTTCCTACTTCCACCTTGCATATCCCACTGAAAATTGTCACTTGTGATATAATGAGAATGAAAAGAGCTTTTTAGAGATTGGGGTTTTTTCGTGTTTTTTTTTTGTTTTTGTTTTTTTTTTCACATGTGTCAGGATAACTGTTCCTAAGCCTGTACTTAGCCTGAAATTGTGTTTTAGAAAGATAAACCTAGGAGCTGATTAACAAATATTGCTCTCATCCTGAGTTGCTCAGAAGCTCTGTAGAGGTCATATTAGCACCAAATGAGAAGGTTTTAATCAGGTGTATAGCAGCAAATACAGATTAGCTGCTAATTAATACAAAATTGAGTGGTCATCAGGGATGCTGATTTAAGCTTCTTGGAAAATAACAGGCCACAGTTTTAAACTCTCTCTCTTTTCACCACCTACCAAATAAAGGTGTCCCTAAAGAAAGGTGTGCCTAACATACATGGTGAGAAAGGTCAGAACTTAGTGCTTTCCTGACTTTTACAGTTTCAGGTGATATAACTTATTAAAATCTCATTTTCGATTTCCATGTCTTGTTCCTGTCCTGTGGACTTTTGCCCAGTCATAATATCATCCTGCTCCCATGCAATGGCCTGCCAAATCTCACAGATATCAGCACTGCTATTCTGCTCCTCTGAGGAGCAGTTTAGGACACTTTACTGTTTAAGACCAGATTAATAGAGCTATACTTTTGCTTACACAGCTGCATTTCCAGGGCAACTCCACCAGAGGCGGATTTTCATCAATGTAATTTTCATCAGTGTAACAGAGCAGAGTTTCTAGAAAGGAAGGGAAGCTAGCGGCTTGGGGAACCTGCAAGATGTACACCTTGTGATAGGTTACACCAGGATAAACCAATAAGATGGGGAATGCTGGGTACAGAAGAACTGGTACCAGACTGAAGCCTGTAAGCTTAAGGACCCAAAAGATGAGCTGACCAGGCAGATTCAAGAAATGCAGCTTGGATTTGTTATATACACCATCCTTGCTGGGGCAAATACACCTTTCATGTATACAGCCTGCTAGCTTTAGACTGTATGAAACTGAGCATGTAATAAGAATGCTCTCCCATTCTGCTTTTGTGAACTCCCAATGATTTAACATAAGATTATTTTCGCACTTACCTGCAAATAGGTTGCAGTTTGTATAGATCCCATTTGAATGATGTAAATCATTCTTAACATAATCTTAACATTCTTAACATGTAAATCAGTCTTAACATAAGGTTACAAGAAGCTTCATGAATTCCTAACTGTATTGGAGATTTTCTGGGCAAAATCATATAAAAATTAGTCTAAATTACATTTCAGAGCTGAAATCTCTAGAGAGTGATGGATATGGAATTTAGGAATAGCATTTCTAAAAAAAAAAAATCATTAGTTGAAAGATCACAACCTTTCACATCTGCAAAATAGTACTCCAAATGTTTTTTTAAATCAGCAGTTTTGTCATTGTAACCTTTTGGCTGGCCCACTGGGGGCATAATACATCATTGCTTTTAGTCCAGCTCCATGTCACAGTGTTTTTTGGATACAATCTCAAAGTACACTTACATAATAATTCCAAATAAATGCATTGGATCCTGAATTACCTGATTACTGATTCCTAAACCTGGAAGCACAACAGGACTGTACCTACTCTCAAGAATGTCTCTTTCTTGTCCTAAACTAACCCAAATCTGTCTTCTAGATATTGCGCCATATCCTGCATTTTCACGTAATAAATATTGATTAAAAACTCCCAAGCAAAATTTAAAAAGTTTTAGTTTTCATGGTTGCAGGACACCAATTGAAAGGAGTGTAGTTTGTTTGAGAACTGCAAAGATCCATTGCCAGTAATGACAAGAGAGCACAATGCAGAACAGCAGATAAATCATACTCTAGAAAATTCACACCCTTCACCAATTTGAATAATTGCTTTTTTGATATACCTGTATAACCTGGTGCAGAGAAAAGAAATGTCATTAATTACAAAGATAAGTATGCAGTATGAAAATAACCGTTATAAACCAGATGAAGTTGGCACCAAGCTCATTGCTTCTCTATACAGATACATTTCTATGTTCTTATGGGTGCACATAACTTGCCAGTATAGACAGCCCTTCTTTCCATAGAGGTATTTAGCTTACATGTCTTAAAATCACTGAAGGAGGAATTGAAAATCTTCTATTCTTGCATGGTTGAAAACTTAAAGCCTGTGTATAAACAGTTTTCTTATTTTTCAAAATTTCAGTATTGGCAAATGAGCAACTTTGCTGTTGGGGTATTTACCTATTCCTAGCTAATCACCTTTTTGTATTTCACTTGAGGTGCAAGAAGCTCCCATCAAGAAAATAATAAAAACCTATGGTATAACTTCTTTCACATTAAGGACCTATGCACATTAATAAGGGGTTTGCTGTTTTTCTGTATGAGCCAAATTCCACTTGGAGTACATTTCACCGGTAGGCTCATGTGTTTAATTTCAGACAAAATATTTCTGCTTTCTTCTTCATTTAAATATTGATCTATATCTCCTGTAATTCAAATGACTGCTATAGCTTGCCAGAACACATCTTGTTCTCTTGTGATTGTTCTATTGCACACAAAGAAACCTGCCTTGGTGCTTTACTGTCTTATTCCTCTGTGTAGTTACAGCACATTTAATTTTCCTATCATGTGGAGAAAAACAGCACAAAAATAGCTAAAACTTCAAAAAATAAATTATTTTGATGTCAGTAATCACTTGTGTACAATGCACCTCTGTACCCAGATGACAAATATCACTCTATACTCCAAGTGATCATTATCAGTAATTTTTAGAACTACAGTAAAAGTGGAGTAGGAGCAAAGCCATGACTAAATACTGAAATAAGTGTATTCACTGTCCATTTTTTACGTGATAAAAGAACATATCAGAAGCAACATGGGGAGAGTAATCTCTCCAAGTTTACAGCTCAGCTCAAAGACAGAATGTTTAAAAGATTTTCATTAGTTTCAAGATTAGCTGCTACCCCCATGGTGCATTTATGAGGAACTCATAGGAAGGTACAAGCAGCCTGCTGAACGTGCCATAGTTTATTAGCCTTACTACCAGTAAGGTAAAATATAATTAATAACGGTTGAAAAAAAATTAAATCTGTTTTTTATTAGGAGATTCAAAACTGAATGTCAAAGAGATAGCAGTTATAAATATAGGCCAATTCTGCTTAGTCCAGGCCACTTTTATAGAAACAAACTTCTGTCAGCCACATAACTGAGAGCAAAAACTTTGGGTTTTCTCAGACTCATAAGCTCAAGAACTCACAAATAATTAAGGCATGTGAATTTGAACAATTCATGTTATTCCATTTTCTAGAGTTCTGTATTATTGCACAGTCTTCATTTTTTTAGACTATTTGGTTCTTCAGCATTCCAGTTTCTGTAAGTTACAGCTCCTCCATTCAGATACAGAAACCTGTCTTCAGTCTGTTCATTAGAGCATATAACCCTGCTTCCAAGCTGTTAAGTGTTTTAAGGATATGTTTTCAGCCTCCTAGGAGAGGCAAGTGTATTTCCAGCTTTTGTACAACAAGATTTTCCAGTTGAGACAATTTTCTTTTATCAATAGTCTTGATATTCTTTAACATGAAACCTAGAAACAAAAGTGAACATAGTTGTATTATACAAAAAATTGATTATGTTATAGCTATTTATCCTTATCACAATTGTAGTTCGGAAGTAGCTAATACCAGCTATAAGCAGACTATTTCTTGAAGTAGTAGGGAGAATCCAACAGAAGTCAAACAAAATAGACACCTGGAAATACCACACCCACACTTCAAGAAAACTGGGATTTCACAAGAAACTGGATCACCAGTCTCATTCTAAGGTTTTCCATTTCCAGTTCTAATAGTACTGCAGCTCTTGAATCAGAATCTGTAGCAATTCCCACTCAAACTGCAAGCATGACAAAATAGCTTGCCAGATCAATTAAAATCATACAAGGCAACTGAGCTGCAGATCTTCTGTACCCATCAGCCTTAGCACAGAAACCAAAGCTGAGGAGCTGTAACAGAATTCAGGGCTTAAAACAGCAGAGCAGGAAGAGGAGATGTAGGTACAGCTCTAAAGAGGCTAGGAAACTGAGCCTCCAGAAAATATAAATTATCTTAGGAGAAGTGGGAAGGTCAAGTTTACATGCTTGACAGGCTTTCATGGTAAATACTGGAAAGTGAAGCTCTTGCTCATTTAGCAGATAAAACTGCTAGCAGCAATTGTTTTGAAACAGTTACTGTCTTTAATGGGCAAGTTACTTTATCTTATTGTTTTTAACAGGTTTCTGGGATTAATGTTAAGGCAGTCAACCACTTTATAGCAATGATATGAACACTGGGACATATGCATAGTTAAATTTTCCTCTGGTGTTTTGGGAATGGTACCAGCACAATGCTCTTGTGGGCAGTGAACCCCACTATGATTCTGTGCCAGGTAAAACCTTCACAACGGTTTCAGACAGCCTTTTCTAGGGTGCTGATACATAAGCACTGACAAAAAGGAGATGGCTGAAGTGATTACTGCTACCAGCTGTTCAGCCTCTCTGTGCTCTTCAGTTTCTTGCCCCAATTTCAGGTTAGCTTTCAAGCTTTATGCACAACTATGGCTTCAGAGTTGTGCTTTCTGCAGGGAAGACACCCCTTGAAAGGAGCTATATGATGAAATGAGCTGTTCTACTGACGCTCATGATGTGGTAAATTGCAGCCTGTGTAATTTTCTCCTGTTAGTTTAAGAACATTGATGGACCTTGTGCTTTTCCTAATCCAGCATTTGTACCAAGGTAGTAGTGCACTGATGGGCTATTCTTTGAAAGTTTTCATACAGTATCTCTTGAGAAAGCGCTTGCAGCCAGGCTCAGGCAGACAGCATCCCAATCCATGTCTACTCATAGAAAATGGTCTAGAACTGAGGCAATAAGAGAAATGTAATGCAATGCTTAAAGCATGAGCACCCAGAGAACAGTAACTGCTCCTGCTTGTCTCTGCAGGTCATTGGTTACTTACAAGTTATTTAGTAATTTATACTACACAGCAACTGTCTCTGTGATGCTTAACTCTCTTGTGACCTGGTGTCATGTGGGATAGCTATTTGGTTTCCAGAGCAGAAACCACAGGCCACATTGCAGAGCGGTTCCATGGGAATTTTTCCCACTTGGAAAGACTTCCTTACCGGGAAGACTGGGTGGGCTTTAAATTCTGCCAAAGTCATCTTCTATTCAAGGGTAAAATCCCAGTTCTCAAAGGCAAAACACACATGTAAATGTTTTTAAATGAATCAAACTTGAAGTAAAAACCACATGAACAGGCAAAGAATGGAAGAAAAAAAATACTGTTTATAACATGAAATAGGGTGTTTGTTATTTCACTCACAGACAACAATAAACTAGTGACTCATTCAAGATGCTTTTTCCTCCCAGTCATGTTGGTCAATTTATCCCCTATGAAACAGATGGGTTATCTTTCTGCTCCTCGCACTTCTGGAAATCACACTTTTCCTCAAATGATGTTACAAGAATACTGGACATTAACACATATATTTTTGTTTGAAAGATAAACTGAAAGGTTGAAAGCCAGATTATAGAAACATGAGAAATTTATTTCTTCTATGATCTCCTTCTTCCACTTTCTCTCCTTGAGGTCCTAAATTGCCTTTTATTCCTGGAAACCCTGTAGACCTCTCAATTATTCTCCTAAAGTTCAACTAAAATAAAATTTTTAGAATGTTTTATAGGTTTTTCTCCCACTATGTTTTCTTAGTATTTAGAGAGAGTACCAAACACTGACTCTTTCCCGCCCCCAGGAAAATAAAAATATCTCAGGAAAATTGTATCGATTCTATGGAAAGCTGCAGTTACTAGGAAATGCATTACTTTGATGAAAAATATCAACTTATGACACAGAAAATCCAATGAAATAAATGCCATCTCATGTTAGAAACTAGAAACCCAATATACTTCAGCTGTAATCCAGTCACACATCACAGTATATGAGCTAGAAAATGAGCTAAATCATAAGGATACCTCTGAAGCAGTTTGCTGGAACAGATAGTGCTGGCTTTATTTATTTCAACTGTGAAATTGCAGAGGACGTACTGAGGGTATGTGGACTGGAAAATGTCTATGCAGAATATTAATATATGCCACTGAAAAATTTTATGTCATAGTTCATATTAGGAGGCATTGATAACAATGGGAGTTTGCTTGGAGGTTGAAAAGCAGTTATCTAATTCCAAAATGTGTGATGGTATCTACATAACACCACAGACAGCATACAGTAACAAAGTATACAGTTCCATATGTACTTATTAATTATTTGGACAGAAACTTATTTGGGAACTTGGGAGAGCAGGTGACTTTGGTTCTATCACATGACAGAGATCATTTGCTGATCTATTTGCTGTTTACAGCAGCGCATATCTTGCCTTGGGGGAATTCTGTTGTTGGGACTTGGGGAATATGAAGCAATCAAGTTATGACTGTCAGATTAGTAGACAACTCTTGCAAGCAGGATTTCTGGTTTTGAGAGCTGGCCCCTGGAAAGGAAAAGCAATAATCATTTAGTAGGGTATGGTAGGAAACTCTGAATATGATTTAGAGTCTAAATGGTACAATCGGGTTAAAATATCATTCCGTATCTTTTTTATTTCTTTATTTATTTATTAAAATCCAAGTATCTGGAGTAGCATTATAAATGCAGAAAGGATTTTCAGCTCCCTGAAATTGTGCAGAGCCTACAAAAGGCTCATGGTACAGAAGAAAAGGAGAGAAGAAGAAAGACAAAATGAAAGATGAAGGAGGCATGAAACAAGACTAAAGGGATGATGAGTGTTGAAAATAAAATATCGCTAAATGGTCATAGCTGTGTACCTGGTTCTCCTTTGTCAGCTTTGGGACCACCTCTTCCATCTCTGCCTGGTAAGCCATTGACTGCAGGAGCACTGCAGGTTTACCTGTGTTAACTGAACTTGTTACCATCATCAGTGAAAGCCATAATAACAAGTCTTTGAAAGGCAGAAGAGTAATTGCTAAGTTCACAGATCTGTGACAAATCAAGCAGAGTAGTTTAATAAATTTATCTGTTTATATAATTTTAAAGGGTTGCTTAGGAAAGAATTGCCTGCACTGCGTAGGAAATAGACTCCCATCTTCAGGAAAAGACCAAAACCAAGGTATAGTGTCTGAACCACTTCATCTATCCTCTGATTGTAATCTTTATGTATGGAAACCAGAAAAGAAGCAACCAAGCTGATAAGAATCTGAAAATCTCAAGGTGTAATGAAAATACCTAATATAACACAGCCATCGATCTCACTGTGCTGCAAATCCATTTCAATGTTTTGTTCACTGTGTGTCTAAATTTAAAGAATTCATGCCAAATGAGTCATACAGTATTCCAGTTTGGGATGAATCCTGAGCTCTCCAGCTATCGTGTTTCTGCTGGGACTCTTCTTTCCACGGCAATTAGGATTGCTGTATGTCTAAACTTAGAGTGATTAAGCTGTTTCTGTTGATAGCATCTCCACTGTAAGAAAACACGCATAGCTTAAAGAGTAAAAATCTTAAGTGCATTTAAATAATAATGATCTACTTGCCTCCTAATTTCTCCTTTCAGATCTTGTATATTTGTAAGATACATTACTTCCTCAGTATTATGCTTCAGAGCCAAAGTCCTCTTGGATCCTAGATTTTCAATATTTTGCTGCCCTCTTTGAGCAGAACAGTAACAGGCAGTAATGTCAAAAGGTAAAGCTCTACATGACATTCTGACAATATGCACCACAGTAATTGTCCTTTATTATAATATGAGGGTCAAATCTGAGGTAATCATTTCCCATGTATTCTGTGTTTAACTCAAAAAACAAAAAGAAATGACCACATATGTGAGCTGGCAAAATTTCAAGGTTAATAAGTTACGTACTAAAGTCAATCGGCCTTATTTTCTACCAGTTCTACCAGTCAAAATGAAAAAAAAAGCACTATTTGGTTGACAGATTGGGATAAGGAGAGAAAAAAAAAATCCAGCATGAATTTTGCTACTCATCTCAATTATTTCTCTAAATTTTAAGCTTCAGAAAAGATTACCCACAGAGAGCAGCTTCGTGTTATGTTTCATCTGATAAAGTACAATATAAAATATAATCACTAGCATATTACTGTGAGAACATTATCATTAGGGTAAAAGGCAATTTAGGAAGCACCACTTCTCTGTATACTACTTTCTTCTTCCTCCTTTAGGCTCACATCAAAATGTGTGGCAATGGCATACACCAAAATAAAATAAGGAAAAGTATTCAGCTAACTAGTAAAACAAAACTTGAATCCTGGTATATATTTCTGATCCAGCTTCCTGGACTCAAGCCAGTTCTTAACAGCCCTCTAAGGATTTCCTCAATTATTATACTATATTACCCACTAGCAGGGAAGTTGACATTAAAGCTGTCTCCCATGAATTCAGTAAGACAAAGCTCAGAAGAATGGCACAATAAAAGAAATCTTGAAAACCAAATGTTAAGCTCTCAGAGAAGTCCACTCCCTGCAGAGATTCAACCTCACACACACCTTTGTTGGTTTGCCTATCAGGAGCTAAGATGTATTTACTTCCAAAGTTATCCAAGTCTACCACCTGCCACAGAAAATATATGGACTCAGTCAGGGATCAATATGATCAGACAAAAGCCATTTATTGCAAAGCCTTAACCCCTTAAATACTATTTCTTACATGCACTTACAGTGATTTGGCATATTATGATTGGATGCATGTCTCGAAGACCCGTAGTGACTAACATACAATTGGTTAAGCACAGGTGTGAGAACTTGACCTCAAAAGCTTGCCAACAGTCCACAGTTCTCATAACTTAGTGAATTCCAGCTTCTTCTTATCTTGCTTGCTTAAGCTTCCTTGGGCCTCTCATGGCCTTGCTGTATCTTTCAGGATTATTCAGAGTTTGTGTACCAATTATCCATTCTCCTGTGAGAACACTGTCTCCACAACCACCCCAAAATTCTATGAGATCTGAAGTACCTGTTTACCAAACTGGTGGCAGGGTTTCCTAGCAATGAAATAATTTCCCAAAGAGAGAAACAATAATTTGCACCAACAATGGTTTAGATAAAAATCAAAATGCTACAAATTTCTCACAAAAGTGGAATAAACCTTAGGGATCTGAAATAGAAAAAGTAGGTTTTCATAGACAGGTTTTGCAGTCAACATTCGATGGACAATCAAATACTGAGAATCCTGCCAAGTGTGGAACTTAATGACAGTCCTTAGGTCCCAAGGCTTACACAGTTGCAGAGACAAGAATTAGGCCTTGAAAGATGCCATGAAACTTTTATATTTAGGAGGTAGCTAGTTCTGGAAGTCCTTTTTAATGAGATAAATCTTAGGTAATTCTTTTATTCCTCCACAAAATGTGCTTTAAGACATGATTCACCCAGTTCAGGTCACATCAGTGAAATGATCCTGGAAGAGGCAGCAGGGAGCCCTTGTTCCTCATTTTGGAGGTGACAGCTTTGAGCCATTAGACTGAAACCTGAGAGTCTGACAGCACAGGACAGCCCAACTGAATTAAAGTACTAGGGAAAGTGCTTCTCTAAGGCAGGTATTACATTTATACAGAAAATAATCAGGCACAGAATGCTGTTGAACTGATAGATTACACCATGCTACAATCCTCCTCATCAGCTTGCTTCTGTAAGGCATCTTACAGAAGTCTTTTTCAACCAGCATGTCTGCACCTGCAAGAGTTGCATGGCCTCAGTATGGTTAAATACTTATCACAGCAAAAGTTCTTTACTTACCAATACCTTTACTTGATCAATGCACAGTAAAACTCTTATCACACCACTGGCTTCCCAGCACAACAGAACATAGTAGAGAAGAACAAGGATGGAAACCTGCTGGAATTTTACCAAGAAAAAACCCCAAACAAAAACCTTCTATTTTTCTAATGAAAGCTGTAATTTTGTGCTTTGTTTTGGGAAGAGGTTGTTTACTTGCTTATCTCTGTCTTGCACAATCCTAATGATTGCTTACCTCAGTCTTACCACCCCTATTTACATGTATTGCATATGACATTCTGGGAGTGAGCCCTTTGCTCTTTGCATGGCCTTAGACAGATATTGGCCATGTTACAGTACAAATTAACAATGAAAAAAAAATCAGAACAACTGCAGGCAGTGAAAGATCTGACTGTAAGGCTTTCACCCTTTATTCAGCCAATTTGATTCATTTTTTTTATTAATAACCTAAGAGAGAGAAGGATATTTGAAGCTCTGAATTAGTCCTGGAAAAAAAATTGGCCAGCTCAAACACACCCATTTTTGTTTAAAAATGGGATGTAGGATTTAAAAAAAAAAACAAACAGAAAGCCATCAGGTGAAGGGATATATCTTTAAACTTTTAAGTAAATTGCTTGATATTTGTCTTCCTGGTTGCTAGTAAAAGTCAGTGGTTAGAATAACTCAGTCAAGCTTGTGCTGTCCAGCTGGTTATGGTACCATTGTGTGTATGTGAAAAGTAGCAAGAACTCTGTGGGATGTTGTCATGGATAGCTCTGCAAAATTAATAGCATAAAACGTAATGCCAAGGAAGAGATGTCTTGGGCAATTTTGCTTGCAGATGATTTTCTTACCCAGAAGAAAGTCTCAGATACCTCCAGCTGCAAAACCCAGTTCAAAGTCCGCATTCCTGCAGAAGTGTCAGGAGTGATTTTTTTCCCAAGTTCCCATATCTGGGGCTGTTCTCTGAAGTGGTGCCATCAAACAGATATGTAGGCTGTTGTGCTGCCTTTGTATCTTTCCTGTTCAGGAACTAGAATAAATTTAGTTTCAGTATAAATAAAATAAAAACATCAGTTCAGAGCAGTGGTATTTGTCAGTCATAATTTGATAAAAACATTGTAGAGCCAACATAATTTAACAAAGATTTGAAATTAGAGCTTTTGGGGTTTTGTTGATTTTGTTTTTGTTTTTGTTTTTTAATAAGAAGCTGAAATTTCCACACTGACCTTTGCTGTTTTGGCCAAGAACTAAAAGTGGTATCAGTATGCTCTGAACACATGGCATCCAGAGCACATCTAGGAACCTTGCAACCCACAAAAATGTCTGGTTTGTTGAATGTCTGTTGAACTTCCGTGAACATTGCTTGACTGAGAAGCAGCAGTATTAAGCAGATAGGATTCTCAGCAATTTACCCACCACTAGGTTCTCAACAGGTCAGGACACCATCTTGCTGAAACATAGTTTGTCACACCGTACAAATTTCACTAAGCTGTGGCAAACCCAGCATGTTTATATGCAGTATTCAAACCTACAGGACTATTGTAAATTCCTGCACTGAGTGAGAAAAAACAAAACGAAACAAAAACCCCAAAACATAAGGGCATGTGGCTTACTAGTCACAAATTACTAAATGTTTTTTTTCACTGGATTTGTAATTTTATTTTCTATCCCCTTATTTCTTTACAGCCTTCCCTTCCTCCAGAATGATTTGGTTCTCCTGATTCCCAATTTGAGTACCGAGTTCCTCACTATTTAGATCCTTGACTGTACCTTCTTTCTACACATCATTCATTTGAGGGGATGGTCTTACGTCTGGCTTCTCTTTGATATATGGTGTAGCTCTTTGCAGATTTCCTTGGAGATGCAAGCACCCCAGCACTTGAGTGGGGTGGTGAGAACCCTTGGCTTTTAAAGTTTCAAACTTGCCTTTGGAGCCATCAGGTTTGAGTATTCTTTACCAGCAGCAGTATCATAAGGGAATAAAAGAAGTGGGAACCCTATTCAATTTTTTCATTACAGCACAACAGGGTGACAGCTCCTAGACACTTGCAAAATAATATATGGCTAAAGCACTGAACTGAAATGCACAGCTAGCTCATTGATTCACTTTGATGTCAGACCAATAGAGTGCTCTTATCCCCAAACCACGGGTTTACAGAGTATTTCAAACATTTCATTGAGACAACTGGAGTCAAGTTTAAAGGCTTTTGAGGAACAAAACCCTAGGAATAACCTTGTTTCAGAAAACTGGACTAGGCATTGTGAAATATCATTCTTAATTGGCTCTCATGCAGTTTCATTAGAGCTCTTAGAAAGATATCAAGTGGAAGCTGTCCTGTTCAGGATCTTTTTTTTTTTTCAGCTACGGCTGAACCCAGGACAATAGGCCAGGTTGGACAGGGCTCTGAGCAGCCTGGTCTAGTGGAAAGTGTCCCTGCCCATGCAGGGAGGATGGAACTAGATGATCCCTTCCAACAAAAACCATTCTATGAGTCTATGATATAAAGGAACTTACTTTACACATTTGTGATGTATGGGCTATCCATCACTCAAACAAAGTTTTTATCCACTAGACCACTTTTCACCCACCTCTTTGACTTTTGCAAAGAATACATTGCTTAGTGCAACTGGAAAACTAACCACAGTGTAAAATCTTAACACATTTACACCTTCGTATTTCAGAGCAGCTACAATCGTGTCCTAAATAAGAAGAATCAGGTAGCTAAAGAGACAGAGGATTTCACAAGATTTTTTCTGCTCCAGCATATAAACATACAAAGATAAATTGCAGTGCTTCACAATAACACCACAGTTTACACCTTGACATATACTCAACTGAATAAAATAAAAACTATGATGATGCTTACATAGGTGTATGGTGCCAAAATATTCAGTGCTACATTGCTCTGTGCAAGTATAGGCTAAATTGCTTAAATATTGCCATCAAAAAGTAATAAAACAAAAATAAATGTCATACAA